ATCCCCAAGACGAAACCTGAACCACCCCCCACCCCCCCCTCCTGCTGCCGTATTACAAGCACGCTCTGTATCACGCAGCCACCCTTACCGTGACGTACGCAGGCTAACTTCTTAACAGGGTGGTAAACAGTCGAGATTTATCTCAATGGCAGAATACACCAGAATTCAACGGCAGATGCTGTACCAGGTTATTCGTGTTTCCATGAAACTGAAGCAACGATACTTTCCTCGAATTTTTTATTTATTTATAGTGTCTGCTGTTCGCGCGTCTCTTTTTGGTTGTGTTTTCTGTGGCTGTACGGAATACGCAAAACTATGGGAACTTCAGGACACTACGGAGCGTAGCTGGTGTCGAGGGTTATGAAGAAGAATTTTGAAAATGATAAGTTTGAAAATTAATTTAATTTTCCAGTCCATCAGTTCTGTCGCAACTCGGTCGGTGATTCTTAAGCATAAGGAATATATTTCACAAGCCCTTGTACATTTTATTAATCGGTAAGCCAAGACTCTCACGGTTTATTTTATGGAGACTTTACTTTCGCCGTGTGAACCGATCTGCCGTTCTCTTGGACGACAGCAAAATTTTACAAAATCAACGACTTTGCTTCGAAAATCAAAATTACTTTGAATTTCATTCGTAACAAGGAAAAATTTCAGTTTGACAAAGGATCAATATTTTTTTATATCAAACATTCCTTTTTGAGATTAATCAAAAAATTTTTTTTATTTCGATCATCCATTATACCGTACCCACTTAGCTTATTTTTAATATTCTTCGTTGTCGACGAGCATCAATTTTTTTTTATTTTTTTTTTATTAAGAGAAAGAATAATAAATTTCAATCTTCACTGCGTCCTCCTTCTTCCTCTTATCAAATCCCTTTTACGTACTTACTTTTCCTGTTTTCCTTTCCTCAAAAAGTTGCAAGACTCACGAAATGCTTTTCAAGAATCTTCACGTCTGGAAACTCCCGGCATCTTCAAAAACTTTTTCATTTCTGTCCTTTATTCGCATCGCGTGAATTTCGCGTATCCCTTTTTTTTTCTCTTCTTCTCGCCCTCTTATCAGAAGTTATGGCGCCTGGCCGACGATAGGAAAAAGTACATTTCTTTACGGTATTTCGAAATCTCTCACATTCAGTTTCCTCGTCTCTCTTGTTTTCGCTCGCTTCCCCTCGCTCTCTCCGCCACTGCGCGAGAGAGACGAACGATAGAGACTCTCTTTGGCTGGTCGCATTAATATGGATTTTTTCTTCTCCCTTTAAAGATAAGAAAAAAAAAAGAAAAAAAAAAGCTCTTGATTGCCCAGGCAAGCAAACCCGTATGAAAGCACTCTTCATCCGACAGATGGTACAGGCTTAAACTTAGGGATAAAGTTCGTACAGAAAAAAAAAAAAATGGATTGAAAAAAAAATCCAAAAGAGAGATTGGTAGTGGGAGAGAAAGTAAGCGATGATATTTTTGAAAAAGAAAAAAAAAAAAAATTACATTTATCTTCTCTAGACTCCAGTGGTCACCACCACTGTCCTAAATCTCATACGTAACGTGTTAGAGAGTGGAGGTGAAACAACCGTTAGATTACCCACTGGAGACAGAGTGGATACCTCATTACATCCAGTTTCCACTACCACAATAACCAAAGACATTTCTTTTTTCTTTTTCTTCGTTACGGGTCCCTACAACTATCTCGCGCAGTTCCGTATATTCCCTGGAGCAAAGAAAGAGGAAAAAAGGACGGAGAGAAATAATAGGAGAAGATATACCGGACGAATACGTGTATCATGGGAATTCGATGTCAGATCGATTTCACGCGAAAATTTGACCTGCACTATATGCTTTTTCTCTCTTTCTCTTACTCCGAATACAACTCTATGTTTCTTTCGGTTTTCTTTTTTTAACCTCAAACATTCAGCTTACCTTTCTATAGACATGGCCGTTAGTGTCAGCACCGAGCATATAGCCGAGACGCTTTGCATGTAATGTACCGATTTACACAGAAAAAGTCCCATGGTCCAGGTGTACGAGAAGAGCTTGGCAATCTGAAAAATAACGAGAGAATACGTAAGATGACAATATATATATGTACACATATATATACTATATACTATATGTATAGTATATTAATGGTTAAATTAAATAATAAAAGTACGAGCGATATCCTTGTTGCGTATTGTACTCTTCGTAATTGAGCCTAATTATGTAAGAGCCCGAGGTAAGATAAGAACAAATTTTATTTTACGGACTTGTGAAAAAAAAAATTTTTTAAAGAGAAAAAAATTCGTCCATGGACAAGAGTCGAGGAATTAAAAAAAAAAAGTACGCGTGTGCACCGTAATTTTTATTTTCATTTTTTTTGGATTCTGTGAAGCAGATCTTTTTAAAAGTCATTATACTCTCGTATCCTTAGTCGTGACATTTTCAAGAATAATGTAACGAGGGTCTTGTACTTGGGCGAAGTGCGAAAAAAAAAAAATAAAAAAGACCAGCGAAGAACAAAGTGCACGAAAGTAGTATCGAAGGAGAGAAAAAAAAGAATATTACAACCACGTACGTCATTAAATCGCACGAAGTTGGGCATCGAGGAAAAAAGGGTTAAAATTTTGAAAAATATCACTTACCAAAAAAAATGAGCAATTTAAAGATATTCATCTTAGCAGCATCACATACGTATACACAGAGTAGTCGCCAAGACGTTTAATCCTTAAATCTGACAGATATTTCAATGTGCGAATTTTGTAAAAAAAAAAAAAAAAAAAA